AGCTACACAGTTGGACTGTTTGCGTCCCGTCCTGTCTGACCAGTAACAGCAGATCTACCACGTTGCCTCCATCCACCCACTGCAGCTCGAGCACACCAGCTCACCGTGACTCTGTCTGAACACCGTAAAGCGGCTCTAGGGTCAGGGTGGTTGTGATATTGGAGTAAATTAACTGCACATGTTGAGACCAGAAGCCGACGCTGGAGACAAACGACGAGCCGGGAAGCTGCAGCTTTTAGGGTTGTTCCTAGAAACCCTCAGAAATCTGGACGTGTCATCAGCAGGTTCATGGTGCAAACTCTTATTTCATCCCAATAAAAAGCCACATTAATGAGGTCAGTGTTCTCACCTTTACAGGGTGCTGCTTTACTTGAATCAGATGATTTAATAACATGAGGCCATGCTGACAGATTTCCACTGAAGCTCTTTTTAACATGTGGACAGAACAGTGAGGACGAGTCGGGGACGGGACCATCTGTTAGGATCCAACACTGAATGTCTTTACTGCTCCTTTAACAACAAGCCAGTCTCTGCTTCTGAAGCTATGGGACAATTAATTAGCAGTCAATCAACAGGTAATTAATTGGCATTGATGGTTTGATTATGTATTTAAAGACATGTTCAATGTGGTTCCTTCTCCAGCTTCTACCAGAATCACATGACGATGAACTGAATAGTTTGAAGTGTTAATCTGTCGACTGAACAATGAGAAAGTAAAACATGCTGGTGTTAAAGATGAAGAGTTCATCAACAGGGCCTTTGTTCACTGGCAAATGTTCATTAGCAGATTTAATTAGACATGGATTCTGCTCAAGGACTCATTGTTCAAGTCTGCTTTGAAGCAAATATGAAGAGTCCCCATAGTCTGCAGGTTTTACCACAATTACATCATAGACTGACTTAAAAAAATAAAAGTGTCTGTCCATACAGTAAAATACTGTCAAAGTAAAAGCATAGCAAGTCAAATATCATTATGGTGCAAAATAAACACTTTTGTTCTGTTTACTGGTTTGTTTCTGCACCTTCCTGCTGGATTCAGGTGCAGCTTCCTGCTCAGACTAAAGCAGAGCAACTAGTTTCTTGCTGCTGTGCTCACATGAAGACCAGCTGTCACTTATTCACAACCAGTCGCTCATTTCTCACAGCAGCCAAACTGCGCCTTTAACGCACCAAGTGAAGCCACTTCTCCTCCGACAGAACATCCACCTGGTTTCACCCTGAGCAGAGGAACGGCTGACAGTAATCTATTACCTGAGCTGAGGAGGTAACGCGCCCCGCAGTGTTCTCCACCTGACGGGGAGTTGGAGCGTCACACGGAGCGGAGAGTCACACCGGGACGGAGACCTTTAGCACCGACACGCAGCTGGATTCATGGCTGTAGCTGCTGCTACGTTCTCATTGCCCGTTTATTAAATCAGTTGCTGGGATATATCCGCGGCAACCTGCTGCTGCTGCTGCTGCTGCGGCTCCGACTGACCGGAACAAGGATCTGAATCCAAGACGCGCAGCGAAGCGCGCAGTCCGGATCTTTATCTGTTTCTTTGTGCGGACATCAGAGGATGGTCGGTGCGTCGGGCTCAGCTGGAGAGAGGAGACACGCTGCAGGTCGTGGATATTAACTTCCCACTTTTAGTCACATCCTCTGTGGACACATGGAGAACTACACGGCGTGGAGGAATTTCAGCCAAGTTCTGTCGGAGCTGGACGGGACGAGCGGCGAGGAGGAGGAGGAGGAGGAGGAGGAGGAGGGCGGCGCGGGGCGCGGCGGGCTGCGCGTCCTGGTCGGATGCGTCCTCTTCCTGCTCATCGTGTCCACGCTGCTCGGGAACACGCTGGTGTGCGCAGCCGTCATCAAGTTCCGCCACCTGCGCTCCAAAGTCACCAACTTCTTCGTGATCTCGCTGGCCGTGTCCGACCTGTTCGTGGCCGTGCTGGTGATGCCGTGGGAGGCCATCACCGAGGTCACCGACGCCTGGCTGTTCGGGCGCTTCTGCGACGTGTGGATCGCCTTCGACATCATGTGCTCCACCGCCTCCATCCTCAACCTGTGCATCATCAGCGTGGACCGCTACTGGGCCATCGCCAGCCCCTTCAAGTACGAGCGCAAAATGACTCACAGGGTGGCGTTCGTCATGATCGGCGTGGCGTGGACGCTGTCCATCCTCATCTCCTTCATCCCGGTGCAGCTGAACTGGCACCGGGCAGGCGAGGAGGAGCAGGAGGCCATGGAGGAAGTGTTGGCCATGATGGCGGGAAACCTCACCAACAGCAGCAGCGGCCTCAACGTCAGCGCCGACGTGGCCAAGAGCTGCGTGGCCAACCTGAACAAGACCTACGCCATCTCCTCGTCCTTCATCAGCTTCTACATCCCCGTGGTGATCATGATCGCCACCTACACCCGCATCTACCGGATCGCTCAGACCCAAATCCGCCGGATCACGTCTTTGGAGCGGGCGGCGGAGCAGGCGCAGAACCAAGGCCACGGCGTGAACCGGAACCAGCAGCAGCAGCACCGACCCAACGACGAGGCCTCGCTCAAGTCGTCTTTCAAGAAGGAAACCAAAGTCCTCAAGACGCTGTCCATCATCATGGGGGTGTTTGTGTTCTGCTGGCTGCCGTTCTTCGTCCTCAACTGCACCGTGCCGTTCTGCGACCCGCCGTGCGTCAGCGACACCACCTTCACCGTCTTCGTCTGGTTCGGTTGGGCCAACTCCTCCCTCAACCCGGTCATCTACGCGTTCAACGCGGACTTCCGGCGGGCCTTCGCCACCATCCTGGGCTGCAACCGGATGTGCTCCAACAACGCGGTGGAGGCGGTGAACTTCAGCAACGAGCTGGTTTCTTACCACCACGACACGACGCTCCACAAGGAGGCGCTGGTTCCCGCTCAGCCTCAGCAGCACCCTCGATCAGTCAACATTGGGTCAGACCACCTGGAGGACATGAGCCCGCAGTTCGACGAGGAGTCCATCATCTCCAACGGTTCTCCGAGCCGAGACCGGCTGTTGCTGCTTCCCGCCACCGTCCAGTTCGAGGACGATCCAGAGATTTCTTTGGAGACGATCACACCGTTCACGTCGGCGGCCGGGCTGGAGAGGGACGCTCTGATACCGGGACAGGTCCACCAGGACGGACACTGAGCTGAGCTGACAGCTCTCAGACAGCAACAACCACAAACATGGATGTAAGTCACCAGACTTCTCCTCCAGGATGTTTCCTGGTCTTTGGTTTGGACTTTATCACCTGGCAGCTCTTTAAATTTTGACGAAAGCTGCAACACAACCACGAAACGTATCCGAGCTTCACATAAATATGGCAGGACCCGAGTTTCTAGATGTGTTTTCTGTGCAGCTGTTTGGCTGTTGTGTTGCATTTCTGTGTCTCAAGTTGTTTAAATGAAGACGAGGTACTGAGCAGCTCACTTTGAGAAGAACCGTTTGTCAGACATTAAACCTGATTTACTTCCTGGTTCTGTTCTGTCTGTGTGTGAAGGTCAGAGCTGCTCTTTACAGGAGAAAGGTCACGAGTCAGTCCAGGTGTTGGAGCTGTCTCAGACGTCTTGTCGTTTCAGGCTCTGCTGCCTCTGAAGGACGGCGTCTGCAGCCGGTCGCGTCCCGTCAGCCTGTAATGAAATGTTCAGCGTTCGCTGTTGAAATGCAGGCGGCGAACAAAGTGGAACCTGGACTGGGCCAGAAGTGTTGAAATATAAAAACCCTCCTGTTTTCCTTTGTGTGAACAGAACTTTTTTTACAAAGGGAGGAAGCTGCAGAATTCAGATAAAAGGTCAACAGCAGGTTCTGACCTTCCAGCCTTCTGTAAGCTCTCCTTTTAATCTCATGTGCCTTTTTTAAACCAGCTGTTCATCAAGTGAGTCACAACTACAGATATTTTCAGCTCTCACAAGGTCACTGAGTCAGTCTGAGCACAGACGAGCTGAAGGAGGGTTTGTAGGAACGATCTGCTGACTTTAACATCCGGATTGGTTCGGAGATGTGACACCGTCGGTGCGTTCAAGGACAAACCGGCATCTGAGGAGTGACAGACAGTCACTGCAGCAGCATCCTTTCCCACAGAACTCACATTATTCTCTGCACACTCTGGCTGCTCCTCTCCTGCTGTATGTGCTGCACGGCGGCCACTAGGAGGCGCTGTGTACGGCTGGACACTGGTTTGAGGCGCTGCTGAATCAGCAGTGTGTGATCAGCAGACGCTGTTGTGTGCGTGATGCAGAGGAACGGGTCAGGCTGTGTGGGCCAGAAGGACTTTGTGGTACTTCTTACCTTTGACACACTCTGTATCAGGACAACGTCGGATCAGACAGAAGTCAGGACGTGTCTCAGATCTTGTTCAGAGTTTTCTGTTATTTGGAATCCAAAACTAAGTTCTGTTAAATGTTCTAGCTTCATTTTGAGGTCTGGGACCCTCAGACCTTTTCCTTGAAGCCTCATATGTAGAACAACTTCAACAACTTCTATCTTTGCACGTATACGGACAACATGTGGACCCTCGTGCACACCAGCTGCTGTGCTGCTACCGATGCAGGTCCAAACAGCACAGAGCTACCACCTTGCTCGTCACGCAGCCGATTCTGTTGACGATTGAGGCCCCAGAAGTTGGTGAAATGTCAACCAGGACACATGGATATAACCACATATACACACTGGAGCTCTCTGGGGCCCAACTCCACCTTTAATTCAAATCTGTATGTTTTCTCCATTTTTAACTTCCAATAATTAAAAGTGTGATCTGTGCTGCTTGTCTCCAGCCTCACCAGACTTCTTCCTCTGTCGCTTGTATTTCTGGAGATATGGAACCCTTAAAGCAGCTTTCCAGATAGCAGGACTGTCTATGAAATGACACCAAGGTCTGAAAACACAGCAAATCCTCACAAGTCTAATATTGAACTAAACTTAGCTTTGGCCAATAAATGACTGACCGATGTACTACATGTTACTAGTTATTACATATTACTAACATTATTAATACTGAATAGCAAACAGAACATTGGTGGTGTTGGTTCTGGAGTGAAGTCACTACGTTTTCTGTCTGCGTCTGTTTTTCTTTTAAGCGTTCTGTTGGTTTGATCGATGACATCACACTTGTCTAATTGTCTCAGTGTTCTGAAGTTCAGTGAATTAATGGCAGCTTAAATCCGGCGCTATGTTTGGAAGCATCCTCGCTACATGCAACCAAGCATCCATGTGGTTTCATTCTACATGGCCTTTAAAATAGCAGTTCTGTTTCTAACAAGGTTCACAATCAGAGAATTCAGCCCTGAAGCTGGAAACAGATTTCCACGATACTCTGAGCTCACCTCAGCGCCCAACGCCCAACGCTTTCTGGATGAGTCTTAATGAAAGTCATTAATAAGGAATTAATGTGAAAGCAGAGAACGATAAAGTCGGCTGAACAGCCTGGGGCAGGTCATTACCCAGCAACACCCAGCGTTTAAGAAAAGAGCCGAGCTGCCCTCACAGCTATGTTCACAGTTTTAAATCCTTTCAGCAGCAGGAATCGCTTCGAATTATCACTTTTTAATATATATTTTTGGGCTTTCTGCTTTATTTACAGCAGCAGAGAGAGACAGGAAGTAGAGAGAAGAACGGGGAGAGACGGCAGCAAAAGGTCGTGAGCGGGAGTCGAACACATGACTGCAGCATCAGGGACAACAGCTAACTAAAGCTAACTGTAGCTAACTAAAGCTAACTGTAGCTAACCAAAGCTAACTAAAGCTAACTAATGCTAACTAAAGCTAACTAACGCTAACTAAAGCTAACTAACGCTAACTAATGCTAACTGTAGCTAACTAAAGCTACCTAACGCCAACTAATGCTAACTGTAGCTAACTATAGCCAACTAAAGTCAACTGTAGCTAACTATAGCTAACTGTACCCACTAAAGCCAACTGTAGCTAACTGTAGCTAACTATAGCTAACTATAGCCAACTAAAGCCAACTATAGCCAACTAAAGCCAACTGTAGCTAACTATAGCTAACTATAGCCAACTAAAGCCAACTACAGCCAACTACTTCCAACTCTAGCTATCTCTAGCTAACTGTAGCTAACTATAGCAAACTACGGCCAACTACTGCCAACTATAGCCAACAAATGCTAACTATAGCTAACTAAAGCTAACTGTAGCCAACTGTAGCCAACTATAGCTAACTCTAGCCAACTGTAGCCAAGTGTAGCTAACTGTAGCTAACTATAGCAAACTAAAGCCAACTATAGCCAACTGTAGCCAACTATAGTCAACTACTGCCAACTACAGCCAACTACTGCTAACTACTGCTAACTGCTGCCAATTATAGTCAACTACTGCTAACTACTGCTAACTGCTGCCAATTATAGCCAACTAAAGACAAGCCAACTACTGCCAACTCTAGCTATCTCTAGCTAACTGTAGCTAATTGTAGCTAACTATAGCCAACTACAGCCAACTCTTGTTTACTGTAGCCAACTGTAGCTAACTATAGCCAACTACAGCCAACTCTTGCTAACTGTAGCTAACTATAGCCAACTGTAGCCAACTACAGCCCCTATACATGGGTCGTCCGCTCAGCGAGGGGAGCTACACTGTGATTTAATACCATCATGAGTCCCACCTGCCCGTTCTGGCTGATTTACTGCTCAGTGAAGACTAGAAGTCAAACCCTGAGTACATGCTAATGTAGCTGTATGAAATGTGGAGCCAAAGGAAACATGTTTGTGGTTAATGAGACTCGTGCAGGATGGAGGATGGAAGTCCTTTCTCCTGCAGCTATAGATGCTGATGTTCTGCCCGTGTTCTCGGAGACAACGACACCTTTTGCCACCTTTCAAAAAGACTGGGTGTGATGATCCCGCTTCTATAAAGCAAAACATTATTACTTATATATTTTAGTGCTGTCTTTCCTAAATGAAATCTCTATCGTGGTGCAGCAAGACCTGCAGAAAGCAGATCCCTGTGAGGACAGTGAGTGGAGGCTGAAGCTACAGTAGGATGAGAACAGCAATGCTTTGTGCTCATCTTCTCCATCTATACCAACATGCACAGGCCTTGTTGTTCTGCTAACTGTGGCGCTCAGAAAGTGTTCAGGCCTCCAAACACACAGTAGGTCTGTTCAGTGGGATGAAGGATGAAGGTTCCCACTTCAGTAGCTCAGCAAACGGTGTTTTAATGGGATCAGAGGAACAGAAGGTCACAAAGTCTGAGCTGCTTTAACCCTCTGAACTCAGTTTTACTGACTTTCCACTGAAATGTGCACCACGATGAAAGACGAACAGCCCGCAACAGAAAACGTAACATGGCATTAATCATTAGAAAAGGAAGACAAAAAGAGAAGTTAAAGTTTGTCAGATATCTGCCCACAGCTCTGACCAGTACTGGCTGAAAACAAACGGCATCACGACAAACTCCAGACATGTTCGGACTTAGATCTGATCTGCTTTCATGCTTCACGTTCGTCCTCTCTCTGGTTCAGACGCTGCCTGCAGCTCAAGCATGAGGTGAGTTGGTCACATGGTCACATGGTCAGTGAAAGAAGTGCTGAAGACGTAAAACCAGACGATTCTTACAGCCTCTTAGAAATGCTGTCATTTTGGGGATTTATTTCATAGAGAAGCTGCTTTTAAACCTGAGTTATATTTGTATGTTTATTATTAATTTTGGCACATCGTCAAGCAGAAAATCTCATTATTTTGGTGATTTTTTAGATGAGACATGAAGAATAAAGTGATTTTGACTAAATGTCTTCATTTTAAGCTTAGAGGTGGTGAAGTAAATACTGGGCAATTCCTTCTGTTTCTACATCTTCCAGCTCTGATAAATGCTGTCATTTTGGCAGTTTTGTGGGTTTAATATTTAGTGGATGATGTAACTGACAGTCATCTGAACATCATAATTCAATTCAATTCAATTCAATTTTATTTGTATAGCGCATATTTACAACAACAAGTCATCTCATAGCGCTTCACAAAGGCAGAAACAGAAACACCCAACAATCCAAAACATCTGGATTCCCTATAAGCTTCAGCAGTCCGCAAGCAGTCCACAACAGTGGGAAGGAACCGAAAATGAGCTTCCAGGTAATGTGTGTTTGGCAGAGAAGCTCCAGCGAGGAGGCCGAGCGCGACGCCAGACGCTTCTCAGAGAGATGAA